ACGGTCCCCTCGAGGCCATCTTGCGGTCGTGCCTCGAGGGTGTGACTCCCGTCAGCGCTACGGACGGCGCATGATGGAACAGCACCTTCCTCTGCGGTGGCAGGATCGCCTTCACGTGGCGATCCAGGAACGTGGTTCCGAGGATACAGTCCACCGCGAGGTTGGTGACGACCAAGAACGGCACGCGCGCGACGAACTCACCAATCCGGACGTACAGTTTGAGCTTGCCGAGGGCCTTCATCGACCTATTCGAAGCGTCGATGAGCGGCGGGCTCCGCGCGGACTGGATGGCAGCGCGCCACGGTTCTGCCACACAGCGTAGGTGGATAAGATTCGGGCCGGCGCCCGAATCTAGAACCGGCGTGATGGCGCGCATCATCGCGCGTCGTTGTCCGACCGTTGCGGTGACCTTATAATTTTGCTTCTTGAAGAAGCAAATTGCCGCTTCGTCCGTTCGGCTCTGCGATGGCGCGCGTACCGAAGCGGTCGACGGGGTGCCTTGTTTATTGAGGCTTGGCACGGGGAGGATCGTCGACGCCTCTACGCGTCCTCCCCGGCTTCCCCCGTCAACCCAAGGTCCTCGGGCCCCTCGTCCGTCAGCGGTAGCGCGGATTCTTCCGATTGGACGGCCTCGCGCGGCTCGACCACGTTGATGCCCGTGGGAGCTTGCGCACGCGAATTTCGCCACGCGGTCGGCGGTTGGCGCTCGAACGGCGAACCCGGGTGGAGACCTTGACGGATCCGAAGCTTTTGGTAATTGGCCTCGCGGGCCTGCAAAAGCTTCGAACGCAGCGCGCTGTCCGCCACCACAGGACATTGCTCCTGTCGGTGGGTCAGGTCCAGACAGAACCGACACGGCGGGGGTCCAGGTAATCCTTGGTTGAAGAACCGGACCCGCTGGTTCTGTACTGGCCTTCCGTACGGATGTGCGCGCGCGTTACCGTGTTGGGCGGGCGCCATCGGCGCGCCCGCCGGGGACGAGGCAGGTGACGGATGGTAGCTAGTCGGCGGCGAGCTAAGCGAGCTCGGCGTCGCCGACTGGTCCGTCACCGCCAGTATCTCCTCCGTTTCGGTTCCGCGTGCTGTCGGGAGTTCAGACAGGGACTCGACCGACAGCACGGGCCTTGTCCGCGCGTTGCGCGTGAATCTTCTCACCGAGTCGGACCGTGCTTGAGGCGACGCGAAGGAGGTCGCCTGTCTTCGAGCCGAGCGGTGCGTCTCGCCTATCGCTTGCGCGTAGCGTGCCACCGCTTGGTAGTCCACGCCCGGATGCGTCGCGAGATAATTCCGCACCTGCGCGCACGTCGCTGGCAGAAGTCCCTCAACAAAAAGGGACTTCAGGCGCCTGTCCGAAAATACGGTTCCGCAGCGCAACGCCTTGTCCCACAACTGGTTACTGTACACCTCCTCCGTCATATTAGAGCTCTGACGGAAGGAGGTGACATCACCGACCGCTTCGGAAATAACTTCGTCGGTCGCGTACGTGCGCAATAAAAAGTTAATAACCTCCGCGTAGGTTTCGAGCATATCGCGCTGCTCCGCATCGACCGCCATGGTGTTCCCGTGTAGCCTGGACTGGAGCAAGGCGTGAGCCTGCCCAGTCAAATAGAACTGGAAACACCACACGGCCGCGCCTTCGCTGACCCCATTGTGGTCGCAGGCCATCTTGAAGCGCGCGAGGAATCCTAGCACCGCGATTGGATCTTGACCACCGAATGTGTGGGTTTTCAGCTGGACGTCCAACCTCTTCCGATATCGGTTAACTCGCCGCGCGGTACTCGTGTCGTAGCGTGCGCTGCGATTTTCCAGCCTATACGTGCGGTAGTCGACGGCCTTGGTGAACAGGTCGTTCAGCGGCCTGATCACCGGCAACCGTTTCGGATCCCGCCTCGGGGCAGACCGGCGGTCTCTGCCCCTGCGATGGCGGTCTCCTTCTCCGCCGGGGCTACTGTAGCCCTCCGGATCGGAGTCTTCTCGCCGGAACCGACGTCGGTCGCGCGCATTGCGGCCTCTGCGGTCGCTTCTGCACGATCCGTCCGACTCGGTGTCCTCGTCATCGGAGGGGTATCCACCCCCTCCGGCATCGCGGTATCGCGTATAGCGTCCTTCGCAGTTATCATCGGAGGGGTAACCGACCCCTCCGGCATCGCGGTATCGCGCGTAGCGTCCGTCGCGGTTCTTGCGCGTCGCTCTGTTGTGACGTCTTGTGTCTTCTTCCTCAGAGGGGTTTTCTGTACCCTCCGAGGTGTAGCCTTGAGCGCCGGGTGCGCTTCTTCTGCTCGACCGATACGGCTGTCGCTTTTCTGTCGCGAAGCGCCCCAGACGGTTTTCTGTCCCGCGGGGGCCAGCCGTATCGGCGAGTACGGGAGGGCCATTTTCTGTGGGCCCTCCTGTAGCACCATAAATTGGTGGGAGGTAAATGGTCTTACCCTCCGGGTGAGGGGCCATTGTACCGATCCCGGGTGCGGCGCCGATCGGTTCAGCGTGCGTTAGCGTAGGATCCGGAGCGGTCGAGTCGCGCTGCTCGCGTGCGTCGACTCCTGCTCCGGCGAAGGTCGTGGCCAGACGATTGGCCACGGCGGAGCTGATCGCTCCCTTTAGAGCTGTACCGGACGGGGATTCTTCATCCACAGTGGTGAGCGCGGTCACCACCTCGCATTGGACTTGAGCGGGTAGAAGTTCGTCCAAAAGCGGTGGTATCGCGCTGCGTACGTGCGCGTCCACGAGCGCGGGCACCGTTCGGTCGAGGCATACGCGCGCTACCTGGGGGAGTTCCGTAGCGAGGAACTCCTCGACCCAGGCCTGGATGCGCGGCTGAATCGCGTCGACCATCCATTGGACGCGATTCTCAGTGCCTGCCGACCCGGCCGGCGTAACATCCGATGCGGACGCTCGCGTGCGGCCCGGTCGCGGTGGCGGTCGCAGCAGGGCTTCCGGGTTCTCCACCCGGAGGCGCGGCGCGCCACTGCCACTGCGGGTGCTCAGACGCCCGGAGGCGGAGTCTGCCCCTTGATCCGGTCGGTTCATCGTCGAATACGCTTCGCGATCGACGCGGTGATTTCTCAACCTTTTCCGTCCGTACGGTTCTGCGCAGAGCGGGCGTCAAGGCGCGCGGCTCTACCTCGAGAGTTGTACCCCTCCACAAGAGTACCAAAATGTGGTACAACTCTCCTCAAACCCTAGCGGGCGAGAGGCTCGGAGGATGAGCCGAGGGAGCTCGCGACGCGAGACGCGCGGCGCGCGGTTACCGAACGGTCGGACTTGCGAAAAGGGAGTGGCACACTGGCCGGTTACGCGCAGTCGTCCCGAGGTGCTAGATCGGAGACGACCGGTAACGGGTTAGAAGCCAACACGCGAGAGAATACCGAAACGGCAGTACGTAGGCGCGAAAGGGAGGGGGGCAAGTCTGCCCCCCGTGTTTACTGCGAGGACGGTGTCCAGGTCTTAACCCCTCAGAGGGACGCCCGGGACACCTGTCCAATACAGTACCTGTCACTTACTGTGGACCAGGTACTGTACGCGATTGAAAATCTAGCGCCGTCATTACACCACCGCACGGATCCTCACACTACGCGCTTGCATTACACTGCGCGCGCATTATCCCCACACGGTTCCTTACACTACACGTGTACCCAAGCGTACACCTGTCACTTGCTGCGCCCGTTCGGTAATCATACGTATTACACGTGGGCCACGGTGCCCCGTGCCCGCTGCGCGCGGCCGCTCCTACTGTACACCGACCGCGGATCGGTCTTTGTACCACACTAGATCTTGTACGCGATTCGGCTAATTATTATTAGGAGACAGGGGGACGGGTTTTTCTCTAACATGCGCTCTCGAGGAGTCGATATTTCGCAGGCGATTACGAATAATCGTGTTTTCAGACATGATGGCTGCGAGCAAGGTCCTGATTTCTCGGACTTCGTTGGCATTCCTTGCAACTTGAAGATTTGATCTTGAGAATTTTCACGTAGAGTCTGGAGGCTTTCACGTATCTCGCGTAGCTCTGTGCTGACCGATAGAAGTTGGTCTTTATTTCCTGTGGCATTCTCCAGCGTAGACTTGAGACGAGATTCTAGCTCACTTCGATTGGGAACTCTTGATGCAAGGGAATTGAGGGGCTCACAGAAATCGAGGTACATCAGCGGCAGGACGTCGGGCGATTCCATGGTGCCCTCGAGCATTGCGCGTAGATCGTCTCGAATCTCGAAGCTCGCCAACGTGTCAACCGGCGCGAATGTAGACGTGTTCCCGTGTGGATTGCTCGCTATTTTGAGCGCTTCTCGTTGCACTGCGGGCGGTGCCGATCGTGCGGCAGATCGGTTCTCGGGTGGCATCTCGGGGGAAGGAAAGGGTAAAGGAGAAGACTGCCACGAAAGGAGAAGAAAGGAAATCGTGAAAAGGGAAAGGGAAGTAAACTTTTAGGTCTGGAGACCAGTGTAGTAGGACGCGAAACGTGTTCACGTGCAAAAACAGGGGTCATTCGTGGGGCCGTGTACTACGTAGCTAGGGGGAATTGGCCAAGTGAAATGTTTTGATATCCGTTCGATCGTTGTTCGATGTGCCTTCGATAACACTGTTAAGTATACCCTCTCGATGATTTGCTGATCTGTTAATGATGCGCATCCGATGGCTCTGTAATATGGCATGGATATCTTTATGTTGACGATCTGATATGTTTCAACTCTCCACAGGATAGGTGCTCGACAAACCTATGATGTGCTTTGCTTATTCTACGCGATATTCGGTGGAAATGATGTGCCCCTGATGCCTGTAGGGACTGACATGCGCTTCCCTGGTTGGACCAAGTGTCAGTCGTGAAGTAGAACGTGAGACCATTTATATGTGAACAAGTGTCATACTGGGCGTACTCTCTACTACACGTGTAAAGCACACACATCCCACTACTACACCGCCAAATGTCGCCCGAGAACGGGCTATGGTGCCCACTACTTACATGCCAAGTGTCAATTTGAGAGAGGCGCTGAAGTCCCTGTTTAATGCCGGGAGCTGGAACCGGCACCAGGGGATGTCTATTACAATCCTCTTGCGATGCTACCGCCTCACTTTCGTCATTTCAAATTTGGCTCGTGGTTCGCTTTCATGCTCCCAACTTTCTCCGGCCTCTCGTTCGTGCTTCTCACGTTCCTTCCCTTTTCGTCGCTCATATTCAACTCATGACCCGTCAACAACTCGACCCGCCACATCTGTGTAGGGACCCTCGCTTTGCCAAATGGGAACTGAGATAATGCTCCCGCAATAAGGGACGCATGTACCCAGGCCACGATTCTAGATGTGCATCCTTTGGCGACAGAAGGAAGCATTGAAGACGCACCGAACACTAAGTGGCTTCTGTATCGAAGCGAGCAGCTTGGTCCACAATGTTCCAGTATGGGACATGCTCAGGTTTGTGTTCCTAGAAGCTGGCCGTCCGCACCTCTCCCGACGACTTTGTTAACGGCCCCAACCTCATCTCGCCCAGCACGGAGAGCGAGTCGCTCCGCCTCTTCGCGCAGAAGGACGCCGACGTCTGCCTCGTGCTGTACCGCGACCATGCCCGTTGGTGCCCTACTGCCACAAGGTCCAGCTCCTGTTCGAAGCAATGAAGGTCTCTTACATGGTCAAGAAGATCAACATGAGCTGCTACGGCTCCAAGCCTTCCGTGTTTCTCAACCTTGCCCCGACCGGCCTGCTCCCGGCCATCCAGCATGACGGCAAGCTCATTACCGTGTGATGTCCGGTTCGGTCAGGGCTCGCATGACCTGCATCGTTCTGTGCACCGCGCAGGTGAAGTACCCTCGAAAATATTGACCCGCAATAGAACCTGGCCTAACTGCACATCGACAAACCGTGCTGTCCCCTTCTGGATCCGCATTCAATGCGACTCCCTCGAGCATTCCGAGGCACCGCAGGTTGTTGAGAAAGCAGTCATTGAACACAAAGGGAAACCGAGTCCCAAGCATGAGAAGCTTGCCGACAGTGCCAATGAACGTAAAGTTGTTAAAACGGTTCACAACCCCTGGTTTGCGACTCGCCGCCAGCACCTCATTTGACGGCTCAAAAGCCTCACGGAGCGCTTCTGACAGCACCGGCAAGTCCACCTCGATGTCGTCCGAGTGCATCAGCGCTAAACCCACAAAGCTCTCGGCGAGCCTCGCGTACTCCCCGTGGATCAGGTGCATCAACGCACACACCAGCGACTCGTGCACAGATGTCGGCATCTCGGAAACCAATCCAAAATCGATCTATTCAAGATACCCAGATTTCGTTCGCAGCACTTCCAATGGGAAAAGAAACGCAACACCACAGTCATTTTGCGAATTACGACAACAACAAAAATTAGTCTTTGAAAGAGAGGTTCGAGAAGTCACGTGATATGGTTTGCGCCCGCAAAACGTAGCAACGGGAAGCGACGGACGGGGGGGAATGAAAAACGGAGAAACCCCGGCTGATTGGGTCGACGTACTGTTTCCGTCGTGGCATATCTATTGAGACGGGGGCATCAGAAGAAGAAAAACATAGGACCAGGCGTTGTCAGTAAACAATTCAATCCCAAGGCAGCGGTGCTCCCTTCACCCAGCGCGAACGCAGGCGGCGACAAAGGAAGGCGACGTACCAGCGTATAAAAATCCATTATCCAAAAGCTGGGTGAGCGCGAAGCAGATGCCGGTCTCGACGATAGGCAGATCCTCAGGTCTAACGCGTGCCTGGTCATCAATAAGCTTGACGCCGTCGACCCACTCCGACACGAGGACCATCCTCGCGCAGTACTTGGGAAACGACTTGGGTAAATAGATACCCACGACATCACCATACAGGCGGCGGAACTTGTCCATATTTCTAAGCTCGTTGCGATAAAGCAGCTACCCATGTACACTTCGTGTCCAAGAACTTTGGCTTGCCCCACAGCTGCATGTGTGTTTTAAACACGAGACCGAGGCCACATATAAATGGATGAAAGATAAACGGGCAGGCACCCCTAGCCGAAAAGAGTTCAATTGGCAGGTAGGTTAGTAGCTACAGATGAGGATTGCGACGAAAGTTGGATTGTCGGTAAGGAAGGCCGAAGTTCGATCAAAATGTAAATAGCGGTTATCGTTAGTTAGAAGGCTTGGAAAATTTGTAGGGAAAGGTGATCATGCCCTGGTGAAATGCAGAAGAATGGGCAGGGAAAGGGAAATGGGCAATTATGTCGACAGACGTTATAGAATGTGTATATTTGGGGTGTGTTTGGCAGATGGCACAGCCAGAATGTGCGTTGGGAAGCAATGCACGTAATGACCGGAATGGTGACCTAGATGTGAGGGTCATTGGCGGTTCCACATCTTTGAAAGAGGTCGAGAAGATTGAGAAAGAAGGCAAAAGTCAGTATGAGACATGTTGGGACATTGTAGGCAATGATGCAGGTATCGCTGCGCGGAAAGAAAGAGACGAGGAAGCGACACGCGCGGAGCGAGGCCAAACCCTCAGGAGAGAAAGCGGCGCAGAGGCTTCGGGGATGAGGAGAACGCGGATATGTGAACAAAAAGCGTGAGAATGTAGAGACGATAGAGGTGAGCAAAGTGGGAAACACAGAGTCTTGAATCGCAATACTGATGAACCTGTGGGAAAAGGCGTGCAACTAGGAATTAAAATAGAAAACAAGCGCCCTGGAGAACAAGAGACGTGGATCGGGGCAAATCGAGTCACAAAATGTGACATGGTAGTGGGGACGACTGGCATGATGAAGAGATTGACGGCGGACACTTTGAAAACGAGAAGGACTGCCAGGGAAGGGTGGGGAGCTAAGGCAGGAGATGGGGGAGGCGCAAACGGAGCGGGGAGCGGTCTTTCGATGTCATGAGAGACGCCGAGAAGAGGATGGATGCAATGAAAGCTCCGTGGTGGAAAGACAGGAAAGCTGAAAGGGTGCGGTGATGAAAGAAAAAGGAAACCGGAGGCGATGACGATGGAGGAAGAGGACGATTTGCGGTTTGTGAACTGGATGGGGAAATGGCAAGTGATGCATTTGATTATGGATCGGGGATTGCTATGATGCACATCCTAGAAGAAACTTTTGTTTTTTTCCCGGCGTTTGCGTTCCGATTGTGCTGCCGTCGCGCCGCCCGCACCTGCACGCGCCGCTGCCGACCCCGCCTTCCCCGACGTATAGAGTGCGGTGGTGGGGAGTTTCCGGGGAGAGCGGTTTGCATGCGTATACGGGGGCGGGCGGTTCGTT